AGGTGGAGCCCACTAGGGAGCAGACAGTACTGGATTGTGTTGTGCAGTGAGGCAGACTTAATAATGGAGCTTAAGGTGAAGGAACCCTAAGGAGGCAGAGATCATAATATGATGAATTTACTCTGCAATTTGAGAGGAAGCAGATACAATCAGAGGTAATGGTATTACAGCTGAGTAAAGTCAACTATAGTGACATGAGGAAGGAGCTGGGCAGAGTTGACTGGGAGAAGAGCCTAGCAGGAAAGACAGTGGAACAGCAATGGAAAGAGTTTCTAGAGTAATTCAGGAGATGCAGAAAAAATTTGTCCCTAGAAAAAAGCAGCATGGTACAGGGATAATGAGGCAACCTTGGCTGACTAGGGAAGTCAGGGATAGCATAGAAGCAAGAGAAAACATATAATGTGGTGAAGGGCAATGGGGAACCTGAGGATTGGGAAACTCTCAAAGACCAACAGAGGGCAACAAAAAAAATTAAATGAGGGTAAGCTAGCCAGTAATATAAAGGAGGACTGTAAGAGTTTCTTTAGATTTATAAAGGACAAAAGTGGACAATTGGACCACTGAAAAATGATGCTGGAGAGATAGTAGTTGGGATCAAGGAAATGGCTGAGGAACTAAAATAATTACTTTGTGTCAGTCTTCACAGTGGAAGACTTGAGTAATATCCCAAAAACTTGAAATGGGGAGAAAATTCATAAGTCTGAAGTGCAAAGAGACTTGGGAGTTCTAGTCCAGGATCCTCTCCAGGTAAACTTGCTGGTTGAGTCAGTAGTTAGGAAGGCAAATGCAACTTTGGCATTTATTTTGAGAGAACTTTAATATAAAAGCAGGGATATACTTCTGATGCCCGATAAAGCTATGGTCAGGCTACATTTGGAGTATTGTGCGCAGTTTTGGGCCCCATATCTCGGGAAGGATGTACTGGCCCTGGAGTGGGTTTAGAGGAGGTTCATGAGAATGATCCCAGGAATGAGAAGCTGAACGTATGAGGAACGTTTGAGGACTCTGGGTCTATACTCAATGAAGTTTAGAAGGATGACTGAAACTTTCAGAATACTGATTGGCCTGGACAGAGTGGATGTTGGGAAAATGCCTCCATTGGTAGGAGGGGTTAAAACCTGAGGGCATGGCCTTAGTGTAAAGGGAAGACCTTTTAGAACAGAGATAAGGAGAAACTTCTTCAGCCAAAGAGTGGTGAATCTATGGAATTTGCTGCCACAGAAGGCCATGGAGGCCAGGTCATTGAGTATATTTAAGGTGGAGACAGACTGTCTGTCTATCACGGGTTACGGGGAGAAAGCGGGAGAATGGGGTTGAGAAACCTATCTGCCATGATTGAACGGCAGAGCAGACTCCATATGCTGAGCGGTGTCATCTCTGCTCCTGTGTCTTATGGTCTAGTTGCTAGACTGGATCAGCAGCAATTGGTTAGAGAACCGATAAGAGAGAAGAACATACTTGACCTCATCCTTGCCAGTCTGCTGGATACAGCTTCATTTATCCATGACAGCATCTGTAAGAGTGATCACTGCATAGTCCTTGTGTAGACTAAGTCCTGCCTTCATATTGGCAATACCACCACCACCCTCCCGCGCTGTCATGTAGCACGATCACAGTGCCATGCAACATGTGACAAACTTAGTACAGATCTAGCAATTCAAGATTGGGCATCCATAAGACACTGTGGGCCATCAACAGCAGTAAAATTGTACCCCAGCGCAATCTGCAACCTCATGGTTAACCATTACTATCAAGCTAGGGGATCAACCTTGCTTCAGTGGAGAGTGCTGGAGGGCATGCCATAAATGAGGTGTCAACCTGGTGAAGCTACCAAACAGGATAAGCAGCAAGTGATGGATAGAGCTAAGTGATCTCCCAACCAACAAATCAGATCAAAGCTCTGCAACCCTGCCACATCCTGTCATGAATTGTGTTGGACAATTAAACAACTCACTGGAGGAGGACATTCCATAAACACCCCCATCTTCAGTAATGGGAAAGCTCAACACATTGGTGCAAAAGATTAGGCTGAAGCATTCCCAGTAGTCCTCAGCCAGAAGTGCTGAATGGAAGATCTGTCTCGGCCTCCTTCAGTGGGCCTCAGCATCACAGATGCTAACTTTCAGCCAAGAAACGGTTGGAGGCATTGGATACAGCAAAGGGTCCCGATAGCATTCTGGCAATAGTGCTGAAGATTTGTGCTTAAACTTACTGTTCCCCTAATCAAGCTGTTAGAGTACAATGCTGACATCTACCTGCCAATGTGGAAAATTGCCCAGGTGTGTCCTGTACACAAAGCAGGAACCCAGCCAATTACTGCCCTGTCAGTCTACTCTCGATCATCAATAAAGTGATGAAAGGTGTCGTTAACAGTACTATCAAACAGCACTGTTCAGCAGTGATCTCACTGGTGCCAAGTGTGGGTTGTGCCAGGGCCACTAGGCTCCTTACCTCATTACAGCCTTGGTTCAAACATGGACAAAAGAGCTGAATTCCAGAGGTGAGGTGGGAGTAAGAACTCTTGACATTAAAGCCTTGTTTGACCGTGTGGCATCAAGGAGCCCTAGCCAAGTTGAAATAAATGGGAATGGGGACAAGCTTTCTGCTAGTTGAAGTCATAACTGGCAGATAGGAGGATGGTTGAGGTTGTTGAAAGCAAGTCATCTTGACTCCAACACATTTCCACAGGAATTCCTGAGCAGTGTCCAAGGTCCAACCATCTTCAGTTACTTCATGAATGACCTTGCTTCCAACATAAGATTCAGAAATGGGAATGTGCAGTGATCAGCAAACAATGTTCAGTACCATTCACAACTCCTCAAATACTGAAGACTGTGTTCAAATGCAACAAGATATAGGACAATACCCAGGCTTGAGCTGACAAGTGGCAAGTAATATTTTGGGCCATACAAATGCCAGGGAAAGACAACCTCCAATAAGTGACAATCTAACCACTGCCCCTTGACATTCAGTTCTGTTAGAATCATTGAAATGTCATAGTGGTCATCATTGACCAGAAACCCCATATCAGCACTGGCTACAAGAGCAAGTCAGAGGCTAGGAATATTGTGGCAAATAACTCCCCTCCTGACTCCCCACAGCCTGTCCACCACCTCCAAGGCACATGTCAGGAATAATTTGGAATACTCCCAATTTGCCTGGATGGGTGCAGCTCCAACACTACGAAGCTTGACACCAAACAGGACAAAAAAGACTGCTTGATTGACACCACATCCATAAATATCCACTCCCTCCACTGCTGATGTTTAGTAGCAGCAGTATGTACTATCTAACAGGATGCACTGCAGAAATTCACCAAAGATTCTTAGACAGCACCCTCCAAAGCCAAAACAAGGGTAATATATACATGGGAACACCACCATCTGCAAGTTCCCTTCCAAGCCACTCACCATCTTGACTTGGAAATAATTCATCATTCCTTCAATATCACTGGGTCAAAATCCTGCAATTCCCTAAGGGCATTGTGGTTCTTCATCCAGCATGTGGACTTTAATGGTTCAAGAAGGCAGCTCACCACTGCCTCAAGTGCAACTAGGGACACGTAATAAATGCTGGCCAGCCAGCAATACCCACATCCCAAGAGTGAATGTTTTTTAAAAAAAAACACTACTGTGGGTGCTGGAAAATCTCAGCAGGTCTGGCAGCATCTGTGGAAAGAAAGCAGTGTTAATGTTTCAGGTCTGGTGACCCTTCAGAATTGCTTGTTCTTCTTGACAGGCAGTGGGGTTGGTAGAGGGGATGGAGTCAGTAGTTGTTGCATCTTGTGATCCTTTACACTGGAAAGGAAAAGGGGGGCAAATACCCTTCTGAAGAAGGGTCACTGGACTCAAAACGTTAAACCTGTCTTTCTACAGATGCTTCCAGATATGCTGAGATTTTCCAGCAAGTATTTCTTTCCAGACTTCCAGCAATTGCAGTTCTTTCGATTTTGTTTTTTATACAGAATTGTTAATGTAGGAGGCTATTCAACCCATCAAGCCTGTACTTGTTCTCTTGGCGTAGATAATCTCCTGCCGCCTTCCCCCATATCTTTGCTTACCGTTTCTATTTGATGTCTTCTTGAAGGCATCACCCTTGCTTTGTTTGCCCAATGCTTTAAATCTATGCCATCTTGTTCTCTCTCTCTCTTTTACAGGCTTGGAACAACTTCTCTATCCAATCCCCTCATGATTTTGAAAACCTCTTATCAAATTTCCTCTCCACTACCTTTCCTCCAAGAAGAACGCTTACAACTTCTTAAATCTGTCCTCATAACATCTTCACAACATAACCCAACACTGTCCCTGTCTCAGCTTCTCTGCTGCTGAAACGATCAATTCATGTCTTCTTTTACTTGTAGACTTGATTTTTTTTTTTCCAACACTTATTCCTTGTGTTCTAATCCATGTAAACCTAAGGCCATCTGTGGCTTTGCTTGTACCAAGTCTCATTCACCAATCATTCCTCCACCCCCCCAGCTTGCTGATCTACATTGATTAGAAATGCCTCAGTTTGAAAACTCTCATTCTTGTTTTCAGATGACTATCGCCCTTCATGTCACAATCTCTTCCATTCCCGCAACCTTTCAGATGCTTCTTTAATTTTGACCTCTGGATTATGGTGGGGACTAGTTCAGTTGTGACTGTCAAAGGAGACTTGGTAAGCCCTTAAAGTGGAAAATAACTGCAAGGCGATGATGAAAGGAACCATCACAATTTCTCTTGTTGGAGACCTGGTATGGACTTAACAGGCTGAATAGCTTCTTGTATTGTAACTGTTCTATGATGCTAATCCCTGGCTTACTTTCCACAGGAGGGAAAAATAAGGTGTGTTCCCTAAAATTCCTCTTGTTTGCAGTTTGCATGATTCTAGTGTTTTATTAGGTACCAGTTGCAAAATGGATTGTTTGTCTAGCTTGTCAAATGAAGCTAGCAGTAATAAGCAGTGGCAGAAACATGCAGAATAGACTTTTCAACAAAATCTTTGTTTTCTTTTCTCAGGAATTTTTTTTACTTGGCTAAAGTGGAGGAAGACCAAACAAGAATTTGTTTTCCGTAGACAAGTCATTGTAAACAGCTCCCAACAAAATCTTGGTTTTTGACACATCCTGAATCGGGTTACAATGCCTGCCGCACCAGTTCTGCAACCTGTTCTTAAAATGAAAGTTGATGAACTCTTCCTCTATTGGTTGAGTGAGACGACGACACAGTCCATGCTGAAAGATTACCTGAAACGAATAGAGTCTGGTGAAACAATTGAGGTAGGCATTGGTGATACATCAAATGACCAACCTCCAACTGTAAGCAATAACAACAAACATTCCACCTCCGAATTGAACATATTGAGTTACTCTACTTCCCCTTTAGTGACTTCTAAATTTTGTTCAAGTCCTCCATCCCAGCTTACTTCAGCTCTCCCATCTGGCACCGTTTTGAGTCCGAGAAATGGATTAAATACTCGAGCAACAAGGAGATCATCGGGGATTAAAGCTGTAAGTTTTGCACGTTTTTCACTTCAAACATCAATTTTTCTTCTGTTAAGAAAGAAGTTGAATATTGTTTGATTTTTGTTTTTAGTGGAATGAAGAATTCACACTTTACAAAATTGTGGTGATGTTTTTCAGCTGAGGTTCTCCCATGGTTGGTCACCAAATGCATATAATGTATTACTGAGCCCGTACAGCCATAAAAGTTCCATCTCAAATCTATGGTAAATTTGCTGATCACAATAGGAACACAAAGTTTTACGATAAAGGGTTGATTGGAGGAGTAGGAGAAATAGCGGTCCTGAAAGTTCATGATGCAATGGTGAGATTAGGAAAGATAGTTTCAGAGTTTCTTGGTGGAATGACAGATGATTAAGACAGTAGAGATGGGATCCCCAACAGTGTTGAATTCTAAGAGTGAAAATTGTGCTAAGGATGTTGAACTGGGGAGATTAAAGTGGGACAGAGCATCTCATCGTAGTTAAATTATTGAGAATGGAATGCAGTGAGGATAGTTGCAGTTTTTGTGAAGGAATTTAGATGAGTCTTCGCTAAGTTTGTTGTTACTGAGTGAAGCTTCAGAGAATGCCAACTATGATTTCAAAATATGATACATGTTCAAGTTAATTCTCCCCTATTAGTTTGTTAAAAGCAAATAGTGTTTTTACCCTTCATTGATTTTTTTTTTCATCTAACAAATATCATAAACTGCTTTTACCATTTTGTCTGTGCTGCCTTGTCACCTGTGCAGTTGAAACACTGTTCTGAATTTATCTTTCTATTTGCAACTTCTTTACTTCCAAAGATTTGACGTTAATTTTTTTGTGACTTTCTTTTTTTAATTTTGCCTTTTGCATTTCAGAGCACTCATCCATGATCCTTCATTCCTTGGATTCATGAGTGAATTCACTTGTTTTGTTAATTAGCTAAAATATTTTAGCACCCAGAATAGGCAACAGAAGACTTTTTTTCCCTGAATATGGTGTTGACGGCTCATAGCTCCCGAAAACATAGAACATATTTTCTCTTCTTGAGCAAGCACATTTACATTGCAGTAATAGTACAAGTGAAAAGTTGCAGAAAATGTGTACAGGTTACCAATAGAAAAGTCTTGACTTGCAATGGATTTGTACATACATTAATTTCTGAATCTGATTTTTTTTTTTTTTTGTTTTGGAATTTTGAGCAAATGTGGGAAAATGAAGTTGATCAACCATGATTTAATTGAATGATAGAGCAGTCGTAAGGGCCTTGATTGCCTATTCCTAATCCTATGTTCCTGCAAATTGAATTGTATGCTCTTGGGAGCATGGGACCATAATTACATGCAATTAGTTGTTCAAATACATTCTATGCAATTATTCCATATATTGTACCTTTTTGATTCATGAAAATCTGATGATGCTCTCCTCCCTGGGAGTTAAAAATATATTGGGAAAAACAAATTCTTTTTTTTTTTTTTTTTAAATCTTTTTGTGTAAGCTGCAGCTATTTTTTTTCAAGGTGGAGTAATTTGGATTCTCGGCATCCGAGTTGTGATGGGGCAAGGGCAATGGTTAATTCCAATCATAACTACCATATGGAATTTAAATTCATTGCCACTCATTTTTACAGAATGTTTTTTTTAAAAAAAAAAAAAAAAAATTATTCCAGTTTTTAGCCTTTGTTCTGCTATTGCTAAAGTCAGCAGTATAGTCATTTTCCTGTTGGTCAGTGTTGGGCTGGAGTGATGGAGATAGGCAGTCATCTGAACAACTAATTGCAAGGTGCAGGGCGAAAGTAAAATTTGGCCTAAATGTAGAAAAGAGGTGGAAATGTAAGTGTTTTAATTGTTTAAAGAGCGCTGAGGAAATGTAGAGTATGAACCACAGAACAGGTGGTTTGGATCTAATTTTTGTTGATTATTCATAAATTCTTCCAGTATTTCCTACCATAATTTCTTTTTAAAGTCACACTTGTGAATCGGGAGGGGGGAAAGTTGTCTGATGAACTCTTTAAAGCTATTAAAAATAATTTGTAGTAATCCAATTTCACTGACATAAGTATTATCTGACCACCTTGGTGCAGGTGAGCCAGTCACTGGCTTAACTAGAATTCCAGCTGTAGCTTGTTGGCCTTGGGCCAACAACAGTAGACAAATGTTGGACATGAAAGACCTATATTGGGGAGGAATGGGTTAATTTAATTTCAGTTTCACTAGTTGTCATTTAGGATTTCAACCTATGTCTCTAGAACAATTGCCTAGGCCTCTGGATTACTAGTTGATTGACATTGTGATCAAGCCACTATCTCCCCAAAATCTAGAGGGGATGGCAACTGGTGAAATTTAGCTTTCAGTTCCAGAAGAATACAGTGTCAGTAATAATGACTATGAAACTGTCAACAATCATCGTAACAACCTGTCCAGTTCACCCACATCCTTACCAGGCCTGGTCTGTATATGAGTCCAGACCCACAGCAACATGGTTGACTTTTAACTGCCTTTTCCCTGTGAGATGGTTTGGTAATCAGGGATGAACAACAAATGCTGAACTTGCCAGTGACACCCAACTATTATCTGGAGTCGGAAAGCAAAAGTGGCTTGAAACTGTATGGAGATAGAGAAAATAAACAAATGGGATAGGTAGAGTCGTGCAATTATAGATTTTACTTCTAGCTGAACAATATTCAGGTGTTTGATTCTTGCAGGAACTTTGGAAATTGTTGGTTTTGTGAAATTTCTGTCATGTTGATGCTTGGATCTAGTATACTGCTTTGGCTTGTACTCCAGTATAATTACCTTCACTCATCTGTGTTTTTATTCATTCTGGGGTTGTGGACATCACAGCTTGGGCCAGCATTTGTTACCCATTCCTAGTTGCCCCTGAAGGTGATGGTGAGCTGTCACCTGAAGTTGTTGCAATCCAGTTAGTTCACATAAATTCAAAATGCGATCAATTTGGAAGTTCTAGGAATTTGACCCAGCAACACTGAAGATACGGTGATATTATTTCCAAGTCGGGATGGTGTGTGACTTGAAGGTGGTTGTGTTGTCATGTAAATGCTGCCTTTGTTGTTCTAGATGGAAGTTGTTGTGAATTTGGAAGGTGAGGTGTAAAGAGCCTTGGAGAATTTCTGCAGGGCGTCTTGTAGATAGTGCACACTAATGCTGTTGAACATCATGAAGGGAATGAATGTTTTTTGATATGGTGACATTACACAAGCTGTTTTTATGGGTGTCTATCTTTTTGAGTGGTTTTGGAACTGCATTTACTCAGGCAAGTGGAGAATATTTCCATTAGTGAACAAGGTGTTTTTGATTTTAATATTTTTAGTTTATTCTCTTGGAAGTAATCCTAACTTTGGTCTATTCAGTAAGGAAGATTTTAAATTTAGCTCCAACAGCTTTCTCTTGTTACAGGAAAAAAATGTATTCTTCGCATATTTAGTATTTGAAACTGTCCTCAAGTTGTTTGAAAGATTGTTTAATTGGGTATTTGAGGATTTGTAAAGGACAGTAACATTATGCAACATAAATTTTTCAGGCCTCTGTCGTATGCACCTATACCATTCTCTCATTCGGAATTGGGTCTATATTTGTACTGCTCAACATGATTCCTGAATTGGCCCTATATTTGTTTTGTAGCACACATTCTGGTTTTGTACTATATTTGCACTGGTATAGCATGGCAAGAACACTGCGTCAAATAAAAGAACTTGGGACAGCTGATTCTAATCAGATCCCTGGTAATTTCTGACATGGTAGTTGTTATATGAGAAGGCAAGGGTATTTAGCATTTGTGTATTGATAGTTACAGTCTATTCAAGAGGTGATAAGTTGAAATAATGTACCAGGGATGTCTTTGTAAGGAACTTGTATTTCTGTTCCTTCATTTACCCCATCTGTTTTCCAAATAAGTAATTTTCTGCATTGCTTAGAAAAGATAAATGCCTCATTTGGTCTTGTTCCAATGCAAATGTCAGACAAAAATGGCGTGTGTAGAGGAATATTAAAAAGTAATGTTGCTCTTGTCTTTTATTAAATGTATTATCGAGCACACTGTTCTTGGTCCTTTTTGGTACTCCCTTGCCCTTCACCTCAAGTCGTATTTGCAGACTAAATTTTATTTTAGACACACACACACGCACAATTTATATATGCAGGAAAACCTCCACTCTATTTACTTGGTTATTGATGTCACATAGTGATTTGTAATCAAGATGTCAACATATGTTTTAATTAGTATCAAAACTTTTCTTATAATAACTGGTCCTCAATTTTTTTTGTACCTGTTCCTTTTGTATTTTCTTGATAGCAGTTACACTGTTTTTCTAAAAGCACGATTTGAGGAAAATTATGAAAGCTCCAAGGTGTCTCTTTTTTTTGTTTAGAAGGAAGGACTTTTTTAGGAAATGCCATTTAACTCAGCAATAATATTGAGTCACTTCCGCAAAAAGCAGCAGATGCTCAATTGGTAATATTTAGCTTAAAAATTGGCCACTGCAAAGCTAGCTTGAGAGGCTAAATGACTAGTTCTGAAACTTGTGTTTCTAAATATTTTGACAAGTCATTCATATCCATGGGAATATGTATTTTGGCCGGGTAGAAATATATTCAGTAAACCAAAAGCCAATAATGTTGGTTTTGAGACACAACATTAGACAGATGAGGGTTGATTTTAAATAATTTTTTCTTCTGCATTCTTCACAGTTTTTGCTATCTTTTAATCTGTTTCTGTTTCACAACATCCCTTTGCTGTTCTGGAAAGGATCCAAGAAAAACTACAAATGCCAGTCTCAATCTTTTATAGCTGCAATCTTTTTCTTACTTATGTTTTATTAATACCACAGGACACTGACTTGCTAAACGTCCACTCTTAGTCTTGCCAAATTGAAAATGTCGAATTCTATATCTATTCCTTTTCGTACAAAGTTCTGTATCAACATTGCCAATTGTGCAGTGTGCATTCTTCACAGTCAAGTTTGACATCACTGAATTTTCTCAACCACTAGACAATGTGCAGTGA